CTTATCAAAAAAATAGTAAAAGTTATTGTTTTACCTTTCGGTAGGGATGATTCAAGTGGACAGAACCATAAGGCTGATGTTGGCCCGCCCGGCCTGAGACAACGCCAGTTAGTACAAGTACCCCTAATAATAAGCGGCACCGTATTAAAATATTGTTTATTATCTATAGTGTCGCGCTTTTAGGAGACGCTAGTAAATGTTTTTATTGTGACTTAAGGCAGATCTGGTGCTGCAATAGCATCCCCAGAAATGACGGCTAATATTTTTTTCTATAATTTAATTTAATAATAAAGTTTTTTTATTCAGCCAAATATTTGCCAAAGCGTATGTGTCTTGCAGGCAACAACGCTTTGGACACAAAACAATGGCACTTTTATGAGCTTAGTGGGACCAAATAAGATAACCAACCTTTTTCTACAGATGCATGCAACCTCGACTGAGATAGCATTTCCTAAGTAATCACGTACTTCTTAAAGCAACGTGCTGCCAAATTATTCTCCGATAAACGTTCATCTTCAACAATAAAATTATCTACCTGTATTTCTCTATCTAAAGATCTTTATTATAACCTAAAAGATCGACCTCGATTTCGAAGCACCCTGTAATCGTTATACCGAAAAAAAACCCAGGCTTGACCCGCTTACTGTACCCTCAGCTAGCTCTAAGGGGCCTATATAGTAGATTTATATCCGCTTTCAGTTCAAATAATAATTTCTGCCCGGGGTCTTTGGGCAACGGGGTGACTTAAACCGATTCATCGAGCTCGCGAATGCTCATATAGGAGCGGAATGGCACAAGGATTAAAGAGTTACTGAAAGCTTCGCGAAGCCCGGCAGCAGAGAGGTACCTGAAGGAAACGAGATTTTATAATATAAAAGCAGACTGAAACATCGGTTTCGATTAAATGTTTTAATCTTAACTAAAAATAGAAGAGATGCCCTTCAGGTGACTAAAATGTCTTATAAGCGAAAAGGTTTTAACACGTCACTTGACATTTTATATTTTGAACAATGTTTTGAAAGTTCTTAAATGATTTTACTGAAACGAGAGCGACTAAAGGACATTTTCTCGGTACTTCCATACGTATTTAGCGGACATACACCTGTCAAACTATTTAAATTATAGAAATAGCCTAACAACTTGCGACATCTCTGAAAATCCAAGGTTCTACAAACACACTACACCCTGTTTTTGTAATCAGAAATTGTGTTAGGAACCGGGCAAAAATGACACGGATATTTCAGGCAAAATTATTTGGAGTAGAACATACTCTCTAGTTCTATTTATGATGCCCATCCCTAAGGTGAAAGAGACTATCTAAGAGGACTTTCGGCTTCCATACACTCATGGTAAGGCACTGCAGATGAGGCTAAGCGAGAAAACACTTCATCAATATGGCAACATGAACGAAACGAAGGCTACAGGTTGAGCTAAGTAGGAACACATCATATATTGTATCCCGTCGCTAAAACGGGTAACAGGTGGGTCCGACAGAATGTGGATGTGCCATATGAGCGTTTGGGCGTCTTAGTTCATGTCGACGGAAAATCGAGTAAACTGATTGATTACTGCTGGTGGCCGAAACGTTCATCTTCATGGTATAGTGTGGCACTGTTTACTCTCTTCCGCCTCGTGGGATCACGGCCAGTCAATACAGAAATAAATACTAAAGTGACAAAGACAGGTGGAAGAAACGAACAAGACCTACATTTCTAAAAAAAAATGGTTGAAATTCACATTCTTATTTGTTTTATGACCGTAATTTGTATGTGCTCGCATAGGAAGTTCATGGTGGACGCCGAGGCGGATATAGGCACACTGGTAGGCGCATGAAAAAAAAATAGTGCTGATACAACTACTTTTACTATTATGATTACCGTTATTTGTAATGTTTGTTGTTTCAGTTACATAGACACTCAAAATGGCCACCTTCGTTATGTACTCACACATTTGTGTGATAGGCTAGCTAACATCTTAGTGCGTCGTCCCTTGACACACTTGACCCCTCTATATGCATTGGCATTTTATTTTAAAAATTGATTCTACTTGCTATATACGAAGACCGAAAGAATGGCGTTCCGAAATGGAGGTGTACACAAGCAAACCATGTCAAGAGACTAATAATAGCATAGCTTTACATCATTCACAGACAGTTGAAGAACATTAGGCAAAGATGAATAACAAGTGATGCGAAGGTGTTATTGTAAAATAGCAAATACATCTTAAAAGTTTGTTCTTATATTATATTATATTTGTTCTTATTGAATATTTATTAATTTATTTATTTTTACGTAACGAGTTGATTTTTCCCAACGATTGGCCTACCTTATTTAGCCGTATAGGCTTTGAATGTAGGTCTACTTTTGCCTTCCCTTAGAGAAGGCGGAGTGATACAGAATAGTTTAGGTAGACAAAGGGCGAGGTTGGGAGATTTGATAAAGGACAGAGACATGGGATTGGCTGTTATATTAGTGACTTACTACAAAATCGGTAAAAAGCTACGTAAAGTGTTTGCCTATTATAGTATACATATAACTAGAACCCAATTATAGTTTCAGATCAAATATAGCTTGGTATGTTTGCGTATTTTCTAATTCCTACTGAGCCGCAAGCAATAGGCCCCTAGCGGGTAGATTGACGCAAACAAATTTCCACTCTGTGCAAACGAATCAATAAAGAAAGAAAAAAATCTTGCATAATTAATTGTATACTGGATCATAAATCATTTACCAGATAGAAATTCGGTTCCTAACCCAGGAAACCAGAACGTGGTGTGACGCAGAGGGTATTTCATTGAGTCGTCCGATTTGACATAGCGAACAAAACCAACCGCTGTTGAGGTTTTTAAGGAACATGAAGGAAGTTTTTAAGAGTACATGAAGCTGTGTCGGTAAACTGAATTCGACAGAACAAATAGCTTGAGATTCGTGGCGCCATCGTCCCCAATCCACCCCCGAAGGTTCGTCCGACATTCTACAAGGTCGGCTTCTCAGCTCAATGTGTCTCTGTTAAGCGGAATGCATATAATCGGCTGTGGATAGCATACAGAGTACTAATAACATTAGCACCTCCAACTGGCCTCACGAAACCTAAAGAGTCGACTTAGTATAAATCTTCTGTTAAAGTTGTTTTTTCCTTCCATATTTTAGAGAATTCAATGCCATTTTCAACTTAAATTACTCAGCTGGCTCTACTCGAATTTGCTGATACAGTCGGCTGATGCAATTTTCTCTGGTCGTATATATGACCCTGAATTTGATTGAAGAAAGGCAATGTTATTTTTTAACGTAGATATCTGGCATCAACCACGAATATTTACTAGCTCTTTGAATTGGTAAGTCCGTGGTTGCTTCTCAAACTGTTAATATTTAGCATGTCCACTCAAATTCTCAATTTAAAAACACAGCGCAACTATCGAATCAATATAGCGGCAATTATATCGTCAAGTTGCCATTAGAAGGATTTAGTATTTACATTTCCTTATAAAAGTCGCATGAGTTTATGCTTAAGATACAAAGCAGAGTAACTTATTCGACCGGGCGTTTTCCTGTTACGGCTAACTTGTGGACATGAATGTGAAAAGTTCTGATTCGCTAAATTAATGTATAGCTAATTCCTTGTTGGCTTTGACAGCAAATCTATTCTTATATTGTTGTTTGTCGAGTTTTCGTTCGCCAAAAAAATGCAGGATTTTCAGCCCCAAATATTTTTGGAAATTACTGTTTTTAATTTCGTGATAAATTCAAAATAGTAGCGGAAGCAGTTTTCCCGCAGTTTTGGCTTCCAAAGGCAGAAAAAGTCTGACCTAATTCTATTTCCTTTGCTGTACAGCTAGGCCGAATTTATAACTTCTTATGAAGCCTAAGTTGATAGATACTAACAAAGAAGGTAGAATTAATCAATATGGGCTTTACTTTCGTTCCGTAAAGATAATTATATTTTCTACATTTTCAATTAGCATAAGAAGCCCTGTAGATAATACATATTTGTAAATATTTTAAGAAATATATATATATATATATATATATATTTCTTAGTGTTGCTCTTTTTTGCTAACTTCTCATATGCTTCAATAATGCTCGACCACATTGCTGACGCAGAATAGTAGCAGCAGGGAAACTTCATATCTGTGAATTTAATATTTTAAAGGGAATATCGAATATATTTTGTTGACAAATCACACCTGAAAATTTTGTTACTAATTAAAATATCATTTTATAGGGTACCCTGAAACGAAACATTTTTTTCCCTTTATTCGTCATGAAAAATTGCTAAATCTGAATGCTTAGATTTTGCTTGCCAAATAGGCAATGGCGAGCTTGAAAAAATTTGTCGCAGCCGATAAACGCTGGCATCCTTGCTGGTAAATTTCCGTTACTAGAAAAAATATTGATTGATAGCAATATCGATTTTGACAGTTATTTACATTCTGGATTCATATTTTCTATTTATACACGTTTTAGTTTAGCTTCGTAGTTTAATTAATGCTTTCTAAATTATTATCGCACTTAACTATAGGTAGAAACAAATGCTTTCGATTGGATTCTTCATAACCGTGACTATATTAGACTATAATTAAGCTTTGTACCTAATTCCAAACCACCATCACCATCTTTACATTAATAGTAACGAAAAATTACAAAATATGTAAAATTATCATTTACATTGCCAATTTCTCATCGATTTTATTTTGAGGGTTAGCTGAGGATAATCGTACAGTGAGCCGATGGCAAAGGATAACACTCAGCGCTCTACCTCGTCATCAAGTACCAACGTACGACCGTTACATGCCTCTTAACTATCATAAAATGTCTTTTACAATGGACCACAAGAAATGAGTTCTATTATTTCTCAAATGGTCATTCCCTCTCCATACGCTGATGCGGCTGTAGACGGCTCCGTCTCTTGAACCCGTGCTGCATCTAGCCTGTATCAGCTCTTGCGGTTCTTCTGGTCTTCTCATATGGCGCTGGTGCTAGTGGTTCTGTTGCCGAACATCACCTAAAGGAATTCGTCTGCTTTATGTTTTACCACCGGTGTCGCTCCTGTAGGCCTAGGGTCTCATAGTTTGCGCAAGAGTTTGCTCCGGTGGAGCAGCACGCTGTGGCTAGCCGCAACTCACACACACCCCGCGCCAATGCGGGATCATTTGGCATTGTTATTGCTAGGCGCTGTTAGAGCGAGTCGAGAGTCGGCCTGACGGCAGGCGTCGTTTGTACCGGACTCATTATCACGCTTTCATTTGCTCTCTATCGGAGTTTGTTGTGTCGTTTCGCCGGTTCGTGAATCGCTTGTGTCCTAACAAGGTACTTCGTCTATGCCTCTGTTGGTGTTGTTGTTGTTGAGTAGAAAGCGGCGGTCTACAATAGCTTCAACATCGGAGCGGCGGCACCCGTTCCTCCGCCAAGTCTCTGGCACACCGTCACTCAGCACGAAACAACATGAGTTCTGATCCCGCCGCGGTAAGTTTAGATGGATTTGATCGAATAGGGATAAATTACTGGACGTCCTAAATGATAAACGGTTCGTTAGACCATGCTGCCCTATGATAAGCAGTCAGTTTGCTAAAATGTTTGTCCGTGTGAATATCACAATCGGTATATATCGTCAAGAATACGTATTCCAGCTAGCTTAAGGCAAACATTTACAACTATGCAAACAGGAGTTCAACTCAAAATTGAGTTATTCTTGTAGATGCTGCTTGATGTTGTGGCGCCAGGTGCGCGTACACACTAGCGGATGCATAGCAAATCTACGGAAGAAACAGATAAAAAGACATAGGTTTGCAGTTCCTCGCAAAGGATTGTCTTGATAAAAAAAACGGACCACCCTGAAGGGGCGGTTGAACCTTATGCTTAAAAGTAGCCATGTTTTACGTAAATGAGATCCAATTTTCAATCAAAGCGAGTAATAATAGTGATCGACAAGATCACTTTAGATTGCGAGAAGTGGCAGAATCAATAAAAAGTTCACGTGAAGGGTGATTAGAAGATCGTGATAGCGTTCTGAGTAACGTGTTTGCTTATTAAACATTGAGACGCGTAGCGGTCTAGGCTCGAATCAGGGCGTACAGACACTTCATTCAGTGTTGGGAGCCAACCGTTTGAAGTAATATCTAATGGCAATACCGGATGTAGCACTCGAAACGTTTAGACAATCGAAAGAATAGTGCATTTATTGATCCATCGATCGTTACCATTGGACGCCATGTACTTACTAACAATGGTTAATTTTTACGTGAATATCTACGGCTAAAAGTCGTCGAGGTGTTAGCATGTATATCCAAATAATCATATTATTACGCAAAGTCTAAGCATGTATCTCCTTAGCCAATTTATGTACACGTGACATTTTAACACGCAGGAAGACCTTTGATGATATCAGCAGGTAATAGGTAATAGAGATGTATAAGCATCGCTTTCGATATGGATTTTAGGAACGACCTGGACCATCAAACTCGTCAGCAGATGCGAAAGAATTCATCAAGCTCAAGGTGAAAGGACAGGAGGGCGATGAAATACATTTCCGATTGAAAATGACCACGCCGTTTAGTAAGTGCTTGTGAAATTCTTTTTTCTGTTGTTAACAATAACCATTGCTAGTTTCCCATTTACAATAATCTAGCCGCCTATTTGATGAATTAGTTAGACAGTATGCAGTGTTTATCAGGCTCACAGAAGGTGCTTTCAGCTGTCGGGTGTACATGCGCAATGCCCTATAATTTGATCTTTTATTCCAAATCTCATTGAGTTTAATAGTATAATTTATCTAGAAATCTGAAGAAGCCGGCGTTATTATTTTCGATTAATTTACGTAAAGGATAATAGCACTTTCTTATTTTCAGCGAAGCTGTGATCCAGAAGCTAAGTAAAAATATGAACGACACGGCAATGAATAAAAAAAATGGTGAAGCCGTATTCAGCTCTGGGGTTTGCTGCAAGTAGCTGCCTGATAGTTTCAATTTTTTAAAGCTCTGCAAATTTTTATAATTATCTATCATCAGCAGGTGTGTTGGCAACTTTACTGATAGGGGCGTTTCTAAAACAATAGATGACTTCAAAAAAAAAAATTATGTTCATAGGATATCGCACGTAAAGAAGTTAACCTTTAGCTTCTTTGACATACGGTATCCTGGAATGCGTTATATGACTGGTAACATGCTAACTTTCAGGAAAAGCTACTTCTGCTTAGATCAGACTTCTTATTTCGCTTGGTCAGTAGTTAACACTGGCCCTCAGGAGTATACGACTATGCTCCCAATGTACACTTATTGAAGGACTAAACATGCTTACTCGCGCTTTGGTTTTTCTGTTCACCTAGGCAAAATTAAGAAAAATTACGCAGAAAGGGTCGGTGTTGCTGCAGGATCCGTTCGCCTGATATTCGATGGAAGCCCCGTCTCTGACACAGACACTCCACGTGGCTTGTCTCTTGAAGATGACGATGTGATCGAAGCCTTCGTCGAACAGACAGGGGGCTCAAGCAGCTATAGCACAGCTAGTGCTTGCAGCTCAACTAATCGTTGTTTCAATCGTATACCTCAATCGCGAGCGCGCCGGTGGTCGACAAGGATATTAGAGAGCTCGTTTGAACAACGATCTGCTCCAATCTGCTCTAACGCGCACAATTTAGATCAGAGAAGAAGAATATGATCTGTAGAATGACACTACAGTTTTCTTTCTATCTGTCCACATCCTCTAGCTTAGGTATTGTATCTTTTGGTGACTCGGTAATGAGTTTTTATACATATAATAAACATGCTAGACTTTAAAAAAACAACATAATAGTAGGGCTATCAACAGAGTATAAAAGTGAATTCCTTAAGTCACGAGTTGTCTCACCCCGATTACTAATTAAGATCTGTTTCGAGCGAGAGAAAGGGAGACAGAGAGAGAGAGGAGATGGAGATAGAGGAGAACAGTAGTAAACAGTTTTCGACTCGAGAAACAGTTGTATCAGCTTGTGCCACTTTAATATAGACGATAACTGTTTTCGGTGAGCTGCTTGTTATTTTGTGCGATGGGTAATTTCGTAGAAATTCGGATGTAAACTATGGTAGACGGTATTCACAATCAGAGCACACTGATCTATGGCTAATCCATGATGTAGTCATTCGTTGCAAGTATGGCTTATCTCATTGATTTTACCGATTAGCTAATATCAGTTATTTACATTTTTTAATTTTATGGACCACGATAACACCAGTAAAAATATCGCCACAAGGTTCGTGCATTAATGGTTTGCTTGACAGTGTGCGGCACGAGTGGTCATAATGTGATGTTACGATACGCGAATTTCTAAAATCACATCAATTTGGAAATTATGATAGTTATTACCATTATTATGTCTAATGACAATGATGACGGAAGCAAGAAGAGGTGACGAAACCTTGATTGTTTAACTGACGTTTTACCTTCGTCCTTTTTTTATTAGCGCCATTTACTGAAAAGCTATTCGAGTTGAATCGAGGATTATGAATAACAGCAACATCGGTATTGAATATTACAAGTATATTATTGTCCTAGTACCACTAAATAACTCCCTACTATGTTTTTTGAGAGACCCCTATTCTTTGATGACCACTGGATAGGATTCAATGTACATTAACAACTGTAAGGAAGAGAGCATGATAAAGGAAAGTGAACGAATGATAAATGCGAGCAAAAAGTACATATTAGGTGAGAACACCTTAAGTAACATTAACAACAAATGTAAAAATGTCACGCTTCTGTAAACGCAATGTATATACAAAAATCTATATATATGAATTATCAAAGCGTAGATAACAAACGACATATATGTATATATATATATATATATATATATATATATATATATATATATATATAACGAAAATAAAGACTTACTCCGTTTGGATTATCACAAGTCTCTTTTCTTTACTCTTTGTCTTTATTTTTTTTGTTATCTTTAATACCGATTTGAGTACTCGTTTGGTCTATGTACACAATGTCACGTATATCTTCTTTCATTTGTTGGCATTCGTTATATACATGTTTACATGATCTGGCCGCGACTGCTACTGCAGTGTTCACGGATGTTTCCGCATTTCTTTTCATGTGTTCTACAATGCACTTTCGTGCAAATAGCTGAGCTAGAGAACTTTTAGAAATTTAAATGACCATATACATTTCTTGTGTAATCTTCGATAACCCAAAAAAAATTTACCGAAATTGTATTACATTCGTATAAGTATTAATAATACTGAAAAACCGCAGTTTAGTGCAAAGCACGGTTACACATACAATCGCTTTTTTGCGAAACACATTTACGTGAACAGTTGTAGTTTTTCACGTTTGTTTGCATGAAGATGCTTTAAGAAATGTATTAATATCCTTAAAAATGCGACAATTTTGCATTTGACAACAAATAAGAGAAAGAAAAGGCTTCGCATTATTGATTTTATCTTAGAACTTAGTGTGTTTGTTGGTGTATATAGTGTTTGATTTTGGTTTATTGTGTCTCAGTCAATAGGTACACCAACGACACTCACTTTTGTATATGGGGACTTTGATAGTTCCGTAGTTCGTCAGTATTTCCACTCACAAATGGAGCATATATAGGATCATGTGCACGTTCCGATGGAAACGTAGACCGATCAATATACAGTTCAGGACACAGCAATACAACAGGTTGAGTAACTTCAGTGGTAGATATAGATACGTTTAGGCTTATACGTATAAAATACAATAAAACTGTAGTAGGTCCCACTCCGATCCAGACCAAAAAAATTGTATTAATTACCCACGATTTGTGTTGTGTTTGCCACTAGTCGAAGGAATCACATAGCTGTATAATTCTGGTACGGGCTTGTAGGTGAATCTTTTCGCCTGTTCATTCGCAGTATTTTTAAATTAAACATTTTTAAAACAAGTAAATTAACGTTTTCGAAATTAATCTTCTAACAGTTTATTTAAGTCTTATAAGTGTCATTGCCTCCTTTACGCTTATCGTAGGTATATGATTGTATCCTTATATAATATTCCCACATATTGGTCTGTATCGTTTAACTATTTCATTTGTGTCATATCATTATAATGCCATTAATATCAATGCCGTGCTGAATAGGCTGAACATCACAGAGCCCGTAGCAAACAAAGGCCGGTTTTAAGAGTCATTTGATTAAATGTATAAATAATAATTATAATATAAATGAATACACCTTATGAATGATCATCTTTATAAGCTCAACGTTCGTCGATATGATGACCCAGAACAGATATTTGATCGCTGCTCCTCTAAGGCTAGTTCCTCTATGTTCGTGCACGGTGCGTATTGTTTTGTAGCAAAACCGTTTGTAGTAGTTTGTGCACCTTCCTTCAATATGTCCACCGATATCCGTTTGAAATAACGATTCTATTGGGAGTATCCTTCGAGGGATTGCAGCGCAATATAGAGGAGGATTCATTCCTGTTCATAATTATCGGGATCAAGCCGTCGCAATGTTGTTGGCTGGTGTGTAAAAACATCGACCTTCTACTTGTGAAACGGAGATACTATTTAAACGAGAATTCCCTGTAACACATTAAGTGATGAAACGATAGTTAAAACTGTATCACTAGAATAGATCTAATGACACTTTTTTCATTCGCTACGAAACATGGCATGGTTCTTCGAGCTGTATTCATCGACAATACTCAGTGATATAATGGCACAGTTTTGAAAAATAAGAACCGCAGTACCGCATAATAGTTATCCCAAAAAAATTAGAATAATAGATACATATGAATATACTTAAAATATAGTATTAAAAAGACAAAGCATCGCTGGAATGCACCTTTTGACAAGATCACAATTTGACTCGATAGAAAAAAACCATAATCCAACGGCAGTTGATAATCCTTCTTAATAGTAATTGTTGGTGAGCCAAGCACATACCTGTGTTTAATTTGAGGCACACTACAGCCCCAGGCAACTACGGGCACCTGTTCTGCTAATTCAACCGCTTGTAGTCGGGAACCTGATGGAAATAGAGAATTTACTCTTTGCCCAATCCGAGATCGCGGGAAAGATCCCAAAGAGGCTTTTTGAGAAGAGCCTAAACTGGTACCTGCTCCTAACTGAGTCGCCGTAAGGGATGAACGCCGTCGAGCCTGGCGTCGCCGTGCCCGTTCAAAACTGGAATCAAAACAAAAAAAAAAAAGAAGAAATTTATTCTTTTGACTTTGAGCGCAAATTGCTACTATTGCTGTCCTAAACTCTGTTTGATTGTCCTAGTGAATAGATCATACTTTTTTTGTTCCAGCATCCATTGACGGTCCCATCGTTTGCGGCGTTTTTCATCTGTTTCCAGCTTAAGATGACGTTTGAGGTAGACTTCATCTCCGGTTGCCTGAAGCATATTCATCGCAAGTGAACGTTAGTTGTGTTCGACTTCTACGGAACTGCTGATGAACTCTAAATGCCAGTTACCAAACACGTTGTTAGAGAATCATACGAACTTTCCAATTTTCAAGCGGACAGAGTGTTGCGAAAAAAATAAATAGACTTCAAAACCAACATAGTATAAATTAAATCTAAGATTATTTCGTACTAGCGATCCAGTCAGCCGTAAAATTTTGTAAGACATCATTATAAAAAATTACTTCGGTTCATCATACTATTCAACACATGTATATGATACATTTTAGGCTTGATAAATCATAAATGGATCTTCTGTATATAGCGAGCAAAATTAGTCGATCTACAGAAGCGCTCAGAGGATAATTTTGATATGGAATATGTAGCATCTCCTTTCAATGATATACTTCGAAGAGCACTCGAGACTACTATTAGAAAAATACTTTTTAAACAGCTCACCTCGTGAGAAGGGTTATCGCTTGTTCTGCGACCCTCAGCCATGCATTCTACAGGCTTCTCTCTCCAGCTTGGGACTTCTATGGAACCACTAACGTGGCGACATTCGGAATCTTCGTCCAAGTCAATTACTCGCTGGTATAGCGCATACGGCATGACAGTCATGGGACGCATTGGATCTCCGAAAACTTCTTCAAAAGGAGCTTTTCCACTTTTGGTGTCTTCGGTTAGATCTTTAAGACGGACGCTCTTCCTAAATGAAACGCGTATTGAAGAACACATACAAGTTACATCTGAGCTCTTCGCGCTACCCCACAACGAGATCTTTAGACTTCCTTCGCTTCAGGTGTGTGAGCGACTTTAAGAGCAGTTCCTAGTAAAGACCTCAGCATACCAATAAGTCGTGTGCTCTTTTAAGATAAGCCATTACTCGATGTAAAACGAGTGATTTTGCTTTTGTGGACGTATACACTAATCGAACTATAATAGAACTTCGAAAAGTCTGCCTGATTGTTATTTCTTTTACAAATATTAGAAAAACGTGTCAAGATAAAATAATATGGTTTTCACCAAAACAAAGCCTATCGTAAAAATACAGTACACGCAGATCATAGCTTATCCAAGGTTTTATATCTGACTATGTTTTTTTTGTGGTACGCGTCTTAGAGGTCTACTGGCTTCTACACAACTAATAACCCGCGAAGAGCACCCAAGGAACATCTGTCTTTCAATAGAAGTTATAAATCAAAATATTCCCAAGCAAAAAAGGACATAGAAAGAGGATAGCCTCATACGGTCAATAATATCACATCACGTCTTTTTGAGCTACGGTTACAAAACGTTGGCAGTAGCCGAAACGAAAATAAAAAGTGTCATCAGTCACTACAATTGCACTCATCCATGTTACCACTAACCTGGATTTTTTACCTAGACTCTCCAGTTGTCGCAACCGCGCGCTCGAGCCGCTAACCACTGATCGCTGCTGCTCGAAACGATTCCTCAATGTATCACGAGGGGGTTTCATGCTTTCATTGTCTGCAACCTGTTCCTCAAGTCTGGCAACCTGCTCTCGAAGTCTCGAGATTTCACACTGAAGCTTCTTAATCTCCGCATCTTTCTGTGCTAGTAGTTCTTCTTGCATTAGCTGTTCAACCGGTCTTCCTTCGATGGGTGTTCCAGGGGGTTCTTGTTTGATAACCACCACCTCTTCAAAATGGACTGATCCCGAGGATGCTTCACCTAAATCATGAGAAGCTGACGTACTAATACTAGTTTTTCGATCTTCATTTTTGGTTTTCGATATCTCCGTCGGGCTGATACCATTAACTACGGTCGGACTTGTAGCCGCTGTGCAGTTGTTCACCTCGGGTGGACTGATGGCCGATGACGTGCTACGGTGTTTCCTTCGAGTCAGCTCTAACACTGGCCGTGAGAAGTAACCGGTCCCTATTGAAAGTTTGACAAGCTCGGAGGCCCGCCCACGTTTTGGAGACGGAGGTGTTGCCATCTTGGCAAGCCGAGGATGTACAGGACGCTTAACGGGAGGAACGATTCTGGCTCGATTGGGCTTGGAAATGGATCGCTGTGGCCCCTGGTTGGCCGTAGCGCTCAGTTCCTGTTGAGAAGCCGAGCTAAGACCGAGTGGCAGTCGCCGCTGTTGGGAGTTGTGTTGACCCATTTTTGGGGGAGCCCCCATAGTCTTAAGGGTGTAGCATCGCCTGGCGACCACATGAACATATGAACGCAAGCACAGATGTACCTGCAAAAAGTTAGTTAAAATGGTACAATGGAAGGCGCTACGTATACTACCCAAGTAGTGCCAATCGAAAATAGAGAATATTTCATGAAAGTCAAGCCAAGGCTTTTAAGAGTTCTTTTAGCAAGATGCAGATCAATGTAAAGTAGTACACATAAGTATTAAGTAGCTAAAATTCCACCCAACTAGTGGGATTTAACTGAAATATTGTTTCTCGTCTTTCAAAAAGCTCTTTGCACTGGCATGTTTTAATAGTGCAGCATTGATGGCCCGAGACGTAAGTTGAACATTGTGCAGCGCGGAAATCTAATGTCAAATTTATCGACTTGATTAATCATCGATAATAATTCCCTTACTCCGATAGAAAGATACCCAGTAGAATACTTTAGATGAGTAAGTGCAAAGGAAGAATGCTTATGGCGGGTACGGCTGTGACTTCGTGTATAATCCGAGCCTTTTGGTGCATTCAAAGTAGATAATTCGATTTGAGGCGTAGTGATTTGAAAATCTCTTTCACATCAAACGGCATCATTTGAAGCACATCGGTCAAGTTGGGGTTCAGCATCATAAGTTGGCGTCAATTGGTGCGCTATTACTTGAAGCAGTATGGCTTATTCCAAGTCTGTTAAGTTTATGGCCGCTTTTTCTATTACGTATCAAACACTAAAAGATAGGGGTGAGATTTTTTAATTTCAAATTTTTTCTAAGTAAAAATGTTTGTGGTGATTTCGTATATATGTTGCAAAGGGGTTTGATGAAATACAGAGACACGGACTTTATTAAATAAATACGAAAATATTAAAAAAACATTCCAATCTAGTGTTCGTGAAGAAAGGAACTACTCTAGTAAGACATACTGTTTGTGCATAGAGTTATTACCATTGTAGAGGGTAATGGTGACAATCGTTTACTACGGCCTGTCTTCTTAAACCTTAAACAGCACCTGGAAAACAAAGCTGCTGCATCTACACACAGAGACCAGCGCCGGGCGCTCCCATTTAAGACCCTACGGCTCAGACTTAACTGATTATTAATGCAATTGTTTATGTGTGTCACAGCGGAGCACAACGCTGATCGTGCAGTAGACCGCGAATATTCATTGAAAATATACTTCGGCATAACTCCACTGAAAGCGGTGTTATATAAATCACAGGCTGTTTTTTTGCATGAGCACCAAATGAACGTATCATTAGCTGCCTAGAGTTAAAACATGATTTGCACAGTTCACCATGTTATGCGATATTGAAATGCAGACACATACCTGGAAAATAGCTACTGTCCAACGACAAGGATTAGATGAACCGTAGCTTTTTCAATGACGTGCATCACGACATCATATAGTACCCGTTTTTCATTGTTAGTTACTCTTTTTCTCTTCGCGGTCCTCAGATAACAATATACTTGTACATTCTTTCAAGTTTAACTCTTGGGAATCCCCGTTTCCAGCTCACAGAGTTACTCAAGCATAAAATAGATGCAATATAACAGTCATAGATGCCACCGACGCCTGCTGATCTTTTCTCTATATCCTTTTTTTCGACGGATCTATACGGCGTTCGAATTGATTTGATGGATGTCCAACAGCGTCAGCGCTCCCGAGGAGCCCCGCAATGTAAGTGTCATCAACTGGAATCGAACCCGGTGTTACAGCCGTCCCCGAATACGAACACGACGTCCAGACCCAGAACTAGAAGCACAAGCGCACTGTGAGAGCAACGATGAGAGCGGTGCATTTGATTTTTGTTCGATTTTGTTTGGCACACAACGATAACGAAGACGATGACGACGACGACGATTTCTGTTTAAACTAAAGCCGGCAAAATGAAATTTCAGTTTAATGGGTTTCCATCAGACCGAATCCCTTTCTAGATACACCAGAATAGAGACGATGTTTTTTGTTTCTTAGCTCTCTTCAGATACATACACACACACAGACACACACACACACACATACACAGACATACACACATAACTTACCAACCAACCAACGCGAAACTAACATGGATGAAAGACACCACGCAGCGGTAACAGCAAGACGAAGCTGCAGTCTGCAAATTGCAGGCGACAACAGTTTCGGCCGCGACAGTAATGGTAGCGCTGAGTTTATGATTGTAGTACCATACACAGGCGCTCCCGTTGTACTTTTACGACTATTACTGCACCCCACTACCTAAGCAACTTTAAGATGGCTGCTGCTACTATTGCTGATTCTAACTACCGCGTAGTTTGCTGTGGCGTATTTTTTTGCTGTTCAGTCAGTTTGTCTGACGAAGGAGAGAGAGAGAGAAACAACAAATCGGTGCTCAAAAAGCAAGCAGCCGGCAAAGTCTAGCATAGGGGGAGACTTGTTCGCAACGCATCGGTCTAGCTTGAGCTGCGCGATTGGTTCGTGTAGAAGAAAATAACAACGATGATCAAAAAGCGTAGAATAATTAATAGTAGTAAGTGAAAATATACAAACAGCGAATGACGAGAAAAAAAATTTCGCCATTTTGGTATTATTAGTAACGTAATAAGTACAAAGGTTGATTAAGTAAGGCAATTTATCTTCTGGCTTTTTGTTCTTTGTAACGGTAGTCGTATAATATCATATTTATGTAATGAGGTTTTCTAATTAACGTGTACAGACACACAGGTTTGTGCATCATAATGGCTCTTCCCAGAACAGTCATGGCTATCAACGTTATTGTTTACACCGTATCTTCCAATACAGCGGAAAAAATATCTGATCCCGGCACCTCCGTTTTATTCTTCAATAATAATGTAGATTTTCTTGCTAATTTGAGCTAAATCGAAATATTTGCTTACATATAAAGATATTCGAAAAATGATACAGACAGTGCTTTTTTCCAGGTGGAGTCAGTCATAAGAATAAAGCAACATTTGCATATACTAGCCTATGTACTCCACAAATTCCATGAGCACGCGAATGGGCGAGGGGTGGAGGACAGCTGATAAGTTACGCTCGAATTAAAGGAGAGCTTCGAATTTAAACAGAACTTACGTGCACCCAGCATAATCCGATGTGCTTGTAATCGTATAAATAGAAATTTTGATCCGAGACCTCAAAGACACTTGTTTGACAAGAAGTGTATTCTTATTGGGTTTGGCACAGCAGATCGTACTGAACATAGTGATACATTTAGATATGATTTGCTAGTAATTACATGGAATCGTGAAGTATAAAGGTTGTCAGGTTTGTCTGAATGGTTTACTGCTGCTAAACATCTCGTTGTGTGTACCGTCATATCAGGCCAAGTTTAATTGAATATTATTAATTTGCTCCGCCTTCCTCCGGTCCTGCTGTACTACACGGCCTACAAAAAAACATTACATCATAAATGTGAAATAATGGAATAAAATGCAAATCAGCCATACATACCCTATATATATATATATATATATATATATAAATATACAAATAGAAACCGTTATTTATGTATGTATATATATAGGGTAAAGTATAAGTCTCTTTATAATTGGAGAGTATTTATTTCACATTATTGAAAGTAGCGGTAAATATTTACATATTGTAATAAAAAGAGCATCGAACCGTCAAACACATTTGTAAATGGAATACTCTACCATTCCTATAATGCTGTATTATAAGCATGTTAGAGTAAATAAAGTTGGTAGTGTGCGTTGATAGCGCAGTTAACTAGCGCATAACCCTCTTTCTAACTAAATAACGATTTCTTATCCTTTTCCTTGAATATGCCATACGTGCGCTCGTGCATCTCTCTAGCCGAATATGTATCTATTCTTTACAGACTCAAGGCTAACAGTTCTGTAGATTAAATGTAATCGTAAATTTGCTGTCCGTGATGAAAGTCTTCCTGGATCCAGCTTGTCGTCCAACATGCCATTAGTAGTATAGTCAACTGCGTCTCACTTTTTAACGGAGTTCGAGAAACTCACCTATTCCAAAGGATAAACGTGCGTGCATGTAACAGTCTGTACGTATAAGTTGTTCTCTTTACGATGTAGATCCCAGAGGGCCCGATAGCGTTGCATTCGATAAGCTCCAGGTGTCACTTCGTGACCGTCATTCGCAACTTATGCTTGTTGCCCTTGCCATGTAATATTGTCGAATATAAACACCAAGGGAAGATTGTCTTCTTAAATTCAGAGAAAAACGAATAAAGAAGTTGAGGGCGTTGACCTATAGACGACAATCTTTCGCGTTTCTACCTAGACCACTTGTGACCGCGCATAGATACATTTGGTTTCGTGCTGGGAGCCAGCCATCTGAAGCAATGCCTAACGGCCTTACTTGACGAGGGCTTTTTTCAATCTAATTTATCGCAGACTCAATATACATATATAAGTCATGCATTTCGTACGCATTGACTAGTTTGACAACTGTGTGCTGTTCTAAGTTCTATTCACCAATTATACCCGCATAATTTTGACTTAAAGTGAAAAAGTGTGGGTCATAAAAAACTCTAGAGTACGGAAAATGCCAGCCGGGCCATTTATTCAAACAATTACGTCATAAAATTTAGATTATTGCAGTTACGAGGTTTTTGCTCCAGCATGTTGTTGATTAGCATTTGGTTTTCCCAGAGTAAATACTCAGTAGTGAATATGCAAAATCGGAGCCGAAATTCCATTGCGTGTTGAGATTGAGGTCATCAGTGCCCAGCAATAATACAATAACAAAATGTGCCAATTGTCCCTGTCCCCGTGAGCTTTAGTAGCTATCTATAGACGGTATGAATTGATAAATGACAACAGTAAGCAACGGCACGGTACCCATAATAGTAATATTGATCTATCCACCATAGAGACCAAATGTCAGTCGTTAGCTGGGTCCATAATATGAATGTTACTAGTCGCAGTTAAGTTTAATAACTCGTGTTAACGGAAAAACCTTTATTAAGCTGAACTTATTTGCAAAGCAATGTATCAGAGTTTCGGCTTAGAAAAATATAGAAATTTAACTGGGCCAGCATTTAACTTCGCTTAGCACTTTGTCGTTAGCGGAAAGCCAAAAGTGTTGAGCTTTGAAATCAAAAGTAGGAATGGTTGTATATATGACACACAATAAAGGTTCAATGGGGTGAGGTAGTTATTTTCAGTAGCTTTTCGAAGACACGTGGTTAAGAGCTGGGTACTTATCGCTCTGAGGTTCCAGATTCAGAGCTACATAACTACGAAAAGAAAAAAACATGGTTTTGGCTACGTTGACATAGTTTCGTACCTAAATGAGCTTGAAAGACGCTAATGAATAGTTAATTTCAGTAACCTAACAATTCGTGCGTTAGCAAACAATCTTATGCGGCGGTCTATAAGTAGAATTCCCTGAGAAGTGACAAAAACACCTTGAAAAAAGCACATAGAACCTTCTTTAGGTGTTTGTCGAGTTTTGTGCATTGCTCTACCCCTCTAAGGCTTGAAAGTAACGAAAATTGCGCCGTAGGCTTTCAGGATAAAAAAAATATTAAATGGGCATATTAGAGCATGAATGCTAACACTTGATAAATTCCCTTCAAAGATAGTTTCATGTGGCCGATAACCGTTATAAACCCAGTGGACAAAGAATATTTATAGCCGTGAACTATTTTTCAGCACGCGATATAAATGGAGCCGTGGGCGCTGCTCATATTAAAGGCTAAAGTGTGCAATTGACTTTGTTTAGTACGAGCACAGCTAAATAACCTTGAACTGTAATACTAGCTATAATGTAGCTAAACACAATATAAAGAGCCGTAAACGCATAACATCTGCAAAAGATGCTAAATAATATGTTGTTTTATGTATCTCGTGTAGCTGGGCATGGATTTTTTCGGTTGACCTATATACGACGCGCTGTTCCTAAATGTTCAAATAAGCTGTTTTATCCAATGCATTTATGGTGATGACCAGTTCTATGTTCAAACAACAGGATTCAGTGAGATTCTAAAAGTTAATTTTCCTTATTTCGGGATTTCAAGATTTTTTCCAAGAGGGATTCTAAGAGTTGTGAAATGGGTCTAATGCATCACTTCATCGAGTCGCCTCCGACCGACAGAAGCTCTTTTTTTCCAGGTGGGGTGGCATCATGCGCAAATAAAGTAACGCCGCGTCTTTAGGCCCCTATGGAATATAAGCAAATAAACGCATACTCGTGTTATACTACGGTTATGGTTTAGCTCTAAATTATACGGTATTGATAAAAATAAAAATATTTAATAGTGTCGAACCATTATCCTTAAATGTAACGTAAATTCAAATAGAGGGAATGTTAAGTCTAATTAACCTGCTTCATGATGGCACTCCGTTGAAATTGGGATAAGTTTTTTCAACTTCTTTGGGAATTTCTTTTTTTGGAAATTTATTGACCTGGTATACAGAAAAAAATAAAGCAAAACGTAAACTACTTTTTATGTATTTCATTTGAATGAATCAATCAATAACATCAAAATATACGTACCTTATTAGCAACAAGTCTATAAGCTTTAAACTCGACGAGCGCATATATAATGTATGACGCACAAATATGGTACAAACAGTGCTAAATTCAAATGAGTGACAACTATAAAGCCTATAATAAAGGGGAGCGTTCTGTCTCAAACTTGACTTCAAAAACCAATCGGACCCGATTGGTCCAAGGAATACAGATAATTACAGTAGTATTTAAAGCTAACGTGTGGTGAAGGATACGCCCAATACTTAAGGCGTCGAGGCTGGCTTTTAGCCCATAAAAAGGTGTATTTACGCTCGAATTCAAACTTAGACCACCATGTGCTTTTAAGTTTATCAGGCAAACATGTTATTCACTGCGCTATTACGGGGACATCATCAACGAAAAGTGTAATAGTCAGATATCCGTTGAAGATTCGAAATAATGCGAGTTCGAAACCGTATTTATGGAGTAAAATGAGGTGACGTAAAAATGCTGAGATGAAGTAGAGCAGCATGCCGATCAATGATCTAATGTATTTTGAACTTCCTTCGCTGAATATACGTGCCAACAGTGCCCTGTCTGTTCACGATATGCTTTTCTTTGACATCAATGTCGCTGTCCAAGTTACTACTTAACGTACCAAATGTCATTGGCTTCATTCTGAAATTCCATTCTTTGCAGTTGTACTGAAATCGCTTGGACTATGCTCAGGTTTTTAGAAAATCTAACTAGTCTGCCAAAAACCAAAACATTTTCAATGAGATATAGCCAGAACAATTATTAGATCTTTGCTAATGAGAGCCGCCCGCA